GCTTTGTATTACTGTTTCAATTTCCTCATATGTTATGGGTCTGTTTAAACTGTTGATCTCTTCTTGATTTAACTTTGGTGGTTCCCATGCTTTTAGATATCCATCCATTTCTTTTACATTTTCAAACTTGGTAGTGTATTGGTTTTTAAAATATTCCCTGATAATGGTCTGTTCTGATGTTTCCTCTTTCATCTCTGATTTTGTTGATTTGGATTTGCTCTTTTTTTTAGTTAATTGGGCTAAGGGTCTGTCTGTCTTGTCAAAGGACCAGCTCTTAGATTCATTGATTCTTTGTATTGTTTTCTTTGTTTCTCTTTCATTAATTTCTGCTCTGATTTTTGTTATTTCTTCTCTTCTGCTGGGTTTGGGTCTCATTTGTTCTTGCCTTTCCAGGCAGAGTTGCAGTGTTAGGTCATTTATTTGGGTTCTTTCTAGTTTTTAATGTAGGCACTTAGAGCTATAAACTTCCCTCTTAGGACTACTTTTAATGTGCCCTAAAGGTTGTGTTGTGTTGCATTGTATTTTTCATTTAGTTCCTGAAATATTTTTATTTCTTTTTTAATTTCCCCTTTGACCCATTCATCATTCAGGAGTGTGTTGTTTAGTCTCCATGTGTTCATGTGGTGACTAGGGCTTCTTCCGGTGTTGATTGTAAGCTTTACTGCATTGTGGTCTGATAGAATGCATGGAATTATTTCAATATTTTTATATTTCCACCACGCCCGCTTTCTTTCTTTCTTAATTTCTCCTTTGACCCACTCCTTTAGCAGTGTGTTGTTCAATCATCATGAGTTCGTGTAGTGACTAGGGCTTTGTCCAGTGTTGATTTTGAGCTTTATTGAATTGTGGTCTGATAGAGTGCATGGGATTATTTCACATTTTTTGTATTTGTTAAGCTTTGTTTCGTGGCCCAGTATGTGGTTAGTTTTTGAAAAAGTTCCATGAGGTGCTGAGCAGAAAGTGTATTCTTTGTTCCTTGGGTGGAATATTTGAAAGATGTCTGTTAGGTCCATTTGATGTATGGTATCATTTAATTCAGATGTCTCTCTGTTTATTCTTTGTCCAGTTGGCCTGTCTAATGGAGACAGTGGGGTATTGAAGTCCCCTACTATCACTGAGTTGGGATTAATCTGTATCATATAGTCCTGTAGTGTTGTTTTTAAGAATTTGGGTGCACCAGAGTTTGGTGCACATATGTTAAGGACTGTAATATCTTCTTGGTTAACTGTTCCTTTTATCAGAATGAAGTGACCTGACCCTCCTTACCTCTTCTGATTAGTTTTACTTTGAAGTCTATGTTGTCAGATATTGGAATTGCTTGTTTCTTAGTGCCATTTGCTTGGAATATTCTTTTCCATCCTTTTACCTTAAGGTAGTGCCTGTCCTTGAAGGAGAAATGGGTTTCTTGCAAAGCAGACAGCAAGGAGATGGATTTTGTTTCTTAATCCATTCATTTAGCCCATGTCTTTTGACTGGGGAGTTCAGTCCATTGATATTTAAAGTTAAGATTATACCTCTATTTATTTTCTTTCATTGCCCCTAGGGTATAGTTGTTTCTCTCTCTGCTCTCTGTATTGCTTCAAGTATTCTTTGAAGCTGGTTTTATGGACATGTATTCTTTCAGGGTTTTCATGTCATTGGAAGATTTTTCTTTCCCCCTCAACTATAATAGACATTTTTGCTGGGTAAAGTATTCTGGGCTAACATCTATGGTCATGTAGAACTAGAAATACCTTGGTCCAGGCTCTTCTGTCTTTCATAGTTTTCGTTGATAAGTCAGCAGTAATTCTGATGGACTTTCCTTTGTATGTGACTTGTTTTTCTTTTGCTGCTTTCAGTATTCTCTCTTTGTTCTGTACACTTAGTGTTTTTACTATGATATGTTGTGGGAGTTTCTTTTCTGATCCTGTCTGTTTGGTGTTCTGTGTGCTTCCTGTATTTGTATGGGGGATATCTTTCCTTAATTTTGGGAAATTTTCTTCTACAATCCTGTTTAAGATCTGGTCAATACCATTAACCTGAAATTCTTCTCCTTCCTCTATTCCTATGATCCGTAGATTTGGTTTTTTCATGGTGTCCCACATCTCTTGCATATTCCATTCCTGTGTTTAAAAAAAAAATTCCATTATCTTTGTTTGAGTGGTGCAATTCTTCAACTTTATCCTCCAGTGTTGATATTCTGTTTTCTATTTCATTCATTCTAGTGGTGAAGCTTTCCCCTGTTGTTTCAAGTTGGCTTATTGAGTTTTGCACTTCCTTCTTCATTTCTGCCTGAGTTTTCTTCAATGTTTCTATCTCTTTTGTGAATTCATTCAGAAGTTTATCCCTATCTTCTTTTAGTTCTTTGATTTGTTTGTTCGTGTATTCTTTAGATTTGTTGAATTCCTTGATTATGTTTATGATTGTTCTTTTACCTAGTAGAAGTCTTCTACAGGACTGGTAGAGTTTGGTGGGGACATAGTATTTTGGCTTTCCATTTTATTATTCTTTTGCTGTGATTTTGGCACATGAATTTCTTATCTTGTTTCTGATTCCGATATGAGAATTAAATTGAAGTATGCTTCTGTTTGTATGATCCAGGTGCCTAGATCCTTTCTTTATTGGTAATGTAAAGCTGGTTGGTACAGGGTTCAGGTTCTCTGAGGTTTAATTTGGAGGGAACTGATGGCTTCATATCAGCTATTCAGGAGTACCCACAGAAGCCCAATTCAGGTTCCAGTCAGGTATGCTCAGGCTTCCTTCACCATGTGGAGGCAGGATCTGGGATCTCTCAGACAGTCCACCCTCTCAGGTTATCTGCTAGGATCTCAGCCTTAGCCTACTAAAGCCAGATCTGACCTGGGGCCTTGGGAAGGGCCTCACAAAATCCCAGGTAGGGGCATGGGTATGGCGTAATTAGGGGATGCTCACCACCACACGGAGGCAGGATTAAGGGGTTCAGGCAGTCCCCAGTGTTCTCAGCCTCTCTGTCAGAGAGAGGCTAGAGGGAGGCCAGAACTGGGCACTCTCTGGTGGTCTGCTGAGATCAGAGCCGCTACACAGATGGAGGACGGAACCCACCCTCTCAGGCTGTCTGCTAGGATCTCCCAAATTTTATAAATTTTTTAAGATCCTACAGCTTTCATTATCAAAAAGAAGCCTTTTCTTGAGTCAATGAATGTAACTAATCTGCAGCATTTAATGTTCTTTAAAGATTTTAAGAATATCAGAAAATGAATCTTGCCTCTACACTACAGGAAAGTCACTACAGGAAAGTCTTCTAAAAGCATTAGCTTAATTCTAGCTGATTTTCAAATATCATTCAAAATTTGACATCAAAAGACTTCATCTCATGAGCAAGCTTATAGCTTAAAGGACTTTGAGATAAGTAGATTTTATAAAGGCTATTGCCTCCAGGTGCTGAAACCTCAGATCCTCTTCAGGTCCCAGGGATGCCATGACCACCTCTCAGCCCAGCTGCCCCAGCCAGTGCTTGCAGTGTTCTTGCTGACTGCACCTGGCCTGGAACTGTACAACCAGAGATTGCTTGCCTCTCTGCCTCCTGAGTACTGGGATTTCACCAAATTCTTTATCTGTGTCTATTAAGATAGTCATGTAGTCTTTGTCCTTTTTTCTACTACTAGAGTCTGTTCCAAGAATTGGTCTGTTTCATAGCTAATTACAAAAATAGTTAGCTAATTACAAAATTAGTTAGCTAATTTTATAACTGTGCTACTTTGATAGGTTCTCATAACAAAACACCACTGACATAAATGTATTTTCTCACAGTCCTAGAAGCTAGAAGTCCAAACCTAAGGTGTTGGAACAATTGGTTTCTTCTGGGATCCTTGGCTTGCACTAAATAGCTGTCTTTTTGCTGTGTCCTCACCTGGACTTTCACCTGTGCAAATTAACTTTTGATGTCCCTTCCTCTTCTTTCAGGAGCATTAGTCACATTGGATTAGGGCCACTTCCTATGAGCTCATTTATCCTTAGTTACTTCCTTAAAGGTCATTAGGATCCCAGCACAGATACTCTGGAAGTTCCTAGAGAGACTTGGCTCAGTTAATAAAAGGCTTTAGGACCTTATTCAATCCCTAGCACATGTGAAAACCAGGCATGGCAACAAAATGCTTATAATCCCAGTGCTGGGAAGTCAGAGACAGGAGGATCCCCGGGACCCAGTGGCCAGCCAGGTTTTCTGAACTGATGAGCTCAAGGTTCAGTGAGAAACTCTGTCTCAAAAAATAAGATGGAGGGGCTAGAGAGATGGCTCAGCGGTTAAGAGCACTGACTGCACTTGCAGAGGACCCGGGTTTGATTCCCAGCAGCCGCATGGCAGCTATGAACTGTCCTTAACTCCAGTTCCAGGGGTATCCGAAGCCCTCTCCTGACCTCCGCAGCATTGCACAACATGGGTGCACTCACATATGTACCTGCAGGCAATATAATTGTACACATAGAATAAAAATAATAAAATAAAATATTTTAAAAAATAAGGTGGAAACCAATTGAGAAAGACACCTGACCTCTGGCCTGCATACATGCCCGTACACACATACACATGAATCTGCACACATATTCACATACACACACACACACACATGTACATACACACACACGTACACACACACACACACACATACACACACACAGATATCTTATTAAAATGTGGTTTTGAGAGAACTTTGGTGATAGTTTGATATGGAGCATAGATATCCTGATGACAGATAATCTGAGTTTGACTGCTACTGTGACCCAATTAATACTTACTTGACAGGGTTGTTACAGGGATCAAGTGACTTAATCTATTTGAAATACTTAGAATAGTTCATAACACAGTAGCTTCTAAATGCATGCTTATTTAAAAAAAATAACTCTGAATACATAGAAATGGATTTTTCTAAAACATCTGAATAGGAAAGAACTGAAACCCTCCAACCTGCTTTTTCTCAACTCACCCATGTCAAATGAACTTTCTTTCTACATTGCTAATTTAATCAACCTCTTTCATTTTAAAGATTCGTCAGCTCTCAGTCCAGCTAATTCTGCAATCAATTTAAGTGGCGCTCAGGACCTGACCCGGAATAAGAATGTTGTGAAACCACTGCCCTTGTCTTTGCAGGTTGTAGGGAAGACTTTTCCTGCAGGTGATGTTTACCTTACTTATATTTCTCTGGTAAATACCAAAAGTCTTGGGTGAAATTTAATTGACAAAGTAATAGAAACAGAAGCTGCTTCCACCTGTCAGTTGAAGACAGATGTGGAGCTGCCTAAAATAATGTAAGCTTGTACAAAGCTTTGCTTTATCTGTGTTCCAACCAGAAGAGTCAAAACGGCATTTAGTACACAGAGGAGATAACTTCAGTTTGACTCTGCTCAACAAACATTTCTTGGGCTGCTGTTGTGTCTAGAAATTGGGGTTATAAAAACAAATTAAGTCATAATGCCTGACTGCAAATGTCCTTGTAATCCATTGGGGGAGACAGACTTACAAGATATTTTCAGTGTACTATCGCTCAACATTTTAGAGAGTAGTCAAGGATGAATTCTCAAGAGGAAATTGGTCTTTAAGAATGAGCAGATATATGCTGGGTGTGGTGGCCACACACCTTTAGTCCCAGCATTTGGGGAGGCAGAAGCAGGTGGATCTCTGTGAGATCAAGGCCAGCTGGGGCTACAGGGAGACCCTGTCTCAACAATACCCCCCCCAAAAAACCCAAAAGAATAAAGCACACACACACACACACACACACACACACACACACACACACAAGAATGAGGAAGTATGTACTGGAGAAAAGGCATTTCACAGAAAGGAAACCTGGGCATGGTGGCACTTGCCCATAATCCCAGCACTTAGGCCGAAGCAAGAGGATTGGAAGTTGAAGAACAGTTCCAACTACTTAAGGAGATCTTGTTTCAAAAAATAGGCAGGGGCTGGAGAGTTGGCTCAGCAGTTGAGAGCACTGGCTGCTCTTACAGAGGCCCCGGGTTCGATTCCCAGCACCCACAGGCAGCTAACAACTCTCTGTAACTCCAGTTCCAGGAGAAATCTGACACCCTCTTCTGACTTCCATGGGCATTGGCACAACTGGTACACTTGCGGACATGCATACAATACACTCATACACATAAAATAAATAATTTTTTGAAAGAGGGCAGGTCAGGGATGGAGAGGAAAAAGATGCATGACATGTAGGAACTTCCTGACATTTTGTTTATGTTGGAACCATAAAATGTACAATGTAAGCAACAGGAGGTGAGCAAGCGGTGGGCAAGGGACGAGTTGTGGGAAAGCAGGCTGTGGAGTAAGGATTTTACTTTAATTTATGGAGCAGAGAAAGGTCCTGTTCTGGTTTTTTTTGAACTGGAACTAAATCGTTTTGGCAGTAATGTATAAGAAGACAAAAAATGGAAACACTAGTTGGAAGTCATTTCATTACACTAAGTGAGACATGATGAGGTCCTTAGCCAGAGTGGCACCAAAGTAAAGAAGAGGAGACCAAGTGGGAGCTGCTCCAGAGGTGGAGTCAGATGGACCAGGTGGACTAATGTGAGCATGAAAGAGGCATCTCAGCCAGCTCCATCTTTCTGGGCCAATGATACATCACCTGAGACAGGAATGTGGAAGGAAGAACAGATTCTCCTGGAGGAGAGTGTATGAACATGTTGAGTCTGAGTTCCCTTGAGACATCCAGTAGAACTGTTCATTATTCATTCATTAATTGATGGTATAGAGAGGTAAGCAACTAACAGGTAGGTAAATCATCAGAGTTGGTAGGATCAGCCAAGGAAAGATATAGAATGAGGCAGGCTGAGAACGAAGGAAGGAATTTTAGAAAAGTCCAAGGTTTAAGGAGAAGAAGCTGTAAGATAGAAGACTGTGGAGGCAGGGAGCTTACCATTTTTAGAAACTTTCCAAAAGTTAGTCATCATAATTTACACAACCCACCTGGGTTTTCACTCCAACCCAACAACTCTTGTAGGACCTACCTCCTAGTTAGATTTCAGACATGAACAACCTGAAGTCAAGTTTTCACAGTGGTAAGAAAAAAAATTAATGAGATAATGAATGAGCCATCATCTTGTTTACTAAAATCATCCAATGGACTTTATAATACAAGAAGTTGGAACCGGAGAGATGGCTCAGTGGTTAAGAGTGTGTCCTGCTCCTGTAGAAAACTACACTTCAGTACCCAACACCTACATCATGTACAACCCCCAAGACGCATATACATAATTAAAAATTAAAAATTGAATCTTTTTTTAAAAAAATGGAATTAAGGGGCTGGAGAGATGGATCCGTTGTTAAGAGCACTGAATGCTCTTGCAGAGGACCCAGGTTTGGTTCCCAGCACCCATATGGCAACTAACAACCATCCTAACTCCAGTTTCAGGGAATCTGACACTGTCTTCTGACCTCCATAAGCATTGCGTGACATACAATGCAGGCAAAACACTAACATACATGCAGGCAAAACATTCATGCACATAAAATAAAAATAACAAAATATTTTTTAAATCATGCACATAAAATAAAAATAACAAAATATTTTTTAAAAAGGAATGTAGCTGCTGGGTATGGTGGCACACTCCTGTAGTCCCAGCACTCGGGAGGCAGAGGCAGGCGGATCTCTGTGAGTTCAAGGCCAGCCTGGTCTACATAGTGAGTTCCAGGACAGCTGGGGCTACAGGGAGACCCTGCTTCAAAAAAAAAAAAAAAAAAAAAAAAAAGGAATTTAGCTGACAACCCTGAACCCACTAATCACTCCTAATGTCACACAAAAAGAGAAAAGTAGCCATTATGTGTCCCCTAATGGACTTTCTAACAGACTTTATGAGATGCTTATGCCAAAATTTTGAATACGAATTTCATCAGGTCTCTAACAATTAAATTATTAGAAATATAAGGGACAGCCGGGTATGGTGGCGCACGCCCTTAATCCCAGCACTTGGGAGGCAGAGGCAGGTGGATCTCTGTGAGCTCAGGGCCAACCTGGTCTACATAGTGAGTTCCAGGCCAACTGGGGCTACAGGGAGACCCTGTCTTAAAAACGACCAAAAAAATGTTTTTCAAAATAAAAAGTGAGAAGACAATACTTTTGTTTATATTTTTGCAAGTCTCCTTAATAAGAGACAAAGGAATGTTAGATGACAATACGGATTTCCAATCAGCAAAATTCAGAAAACGAGAAATTCTCCCAGGTTTTCAAAAAGAAAAAAAAAAAATGTAAGAAATACTTTTTGAAAAGAAAGTACTGTAGATTAAGAAAGGCATAAGGGACATATCACCTAAACTCAAACTCAAGCATACAGCTCTTTTTTAAATCCCAGTTTGAACAATTCAGCTATTTAAATTCTTTCTGAGAGGCAACTGAGAAAAATTAGAACACTGGTGTGCTATTTGTTGATATTAAGAAATTGTTATTCATTGTTAATTTTAAATATAATTATATTACAGATATATTTTAAGAGAATCCCATCCTTTTAGCAACATATATAGATGTGTTTATCCATGAAATTATATGACCAATGGGTTTGTGTCACACTAACCCAGAACAATTGTGTGGGTCCATGCAGGGGAAGTAGGTCAGGGTATGATGAAGCAAGGTGGGCTGTGTGTGGGTGAATGCTGGACTGAGTGACAGGTCTATTCATATGTATTATATATTCTCTCTCTCTTTGTATATGTTTGAAATTTTCCATGAAACAGTTAAAATACAATTATTTCTTCCTTATTTCACTCAGTATCTCCAAAAACGTCATCAAAAGTCATTCTAAAAGATTTCTTAAGGTCCTAGGAAATTTTTTCTGGATGACATCTAATTTTTAAATTATACTCTTAATTGACATATCCAGGATTTGATTTTTAATGAAGGTTTTACTCTGATGGTTCTAGTTTGTTTTATGCAAGTGGGCTGAGTCCTATCAGTGACGCTTCCTTGAATCCTCAAGTGTGAGGTTTACCAGACGCCTGCCGCTTCACAGAGTCCAGTTCAGCCTCTGTTCTAAATTGCTTCTTCTGCTCTACAGATACAGCAAATGGGACCAGCAGCCATGGAGGGAAGAGCAGCGCATCCAGCTCTACTCCATCCCGCCCAGGGAACTACTCTTTGTCACCAAGACCTAGCTATACATCCATAGACCAAGGTACAACACCCATCTCAGAGTTTCTAAATAATGCATCTGTCATAGTAGCACTACACATTTTGTGTGTGCATGTGCGTGTACATGTGTGTGCAGGCCGGAAGTCAATATTAGCTGTCTTCTTTAATTGCTCTACACCTTATTTTTCTGAAGCAGAAGTCTCCACTGTACCTGGAGCTTGCTGATTCAGCTGAACTGGGTGGTCAGTAAGCCCTAAGGATCCTCCATCTCCAGCCCCCTGACAATGAATTATCTGACAAGATACTCCAAAGTTTTCCCTTTGTTTATCATACAATGTTTTGAAAATATATGATTGATGTGAATAATAATTTTTAAGTATTTTGGAGATTATACATGGAAGAGCCTAACTGGAAAATTAATGTTGAAGCAAAATTATCATAGTGAGTTCCAGGCCAGCTGGGGCTACAGGGAGACCCTGTCTCAAAATGACCAAAAAAAAAAAAAAATTATCATGAAGAATCTTAAAAACTCATGGGCGCCGGGCATGGTGGCTCACGCCTTTAATCCCAGCACTGGGGAGGCAGAGGCAGGCGGATCTCTGTGAGTTCATGGCCAGCCTGGTCTACATAGTGAGTTCCAGGACAGCTGGGGCTACAGGGAGACCCTGTCTCAAAAAAAAAAAAAAAAGACAAAAAAGCAAACAAACAAACAAAAAAATTCATGGGCTTTGCTTACCAAAGCATAGGACAATACTAAAAGATTTGCATGATCCTGGTCAAATCTGAGTCTTCATCAGACAAAATGTATATAACACTAACAGTTGGCTACAATTTCACAGGGATGTTGATAGAGTCAAATTAAATAATGTGAGTAAAATTTTAAATGGTAAAGCAGCACATGAATGCTAGTAATTGTTGGTATAGTGTTAGGTTGTTAGTGTTTCTTTTTCTAACTTTATTTTTGCCCCTAGAAGTATGACTTAGACCTTCTAAATAGATCAAAGTAAGGTCCTGTGTCACTGATTGCTGAGGTCAAAGCTGTTTTCCTTTTTATTTTCAGCTAACATGTTCATTTCCGGACCACCAAAGAAACGACACCGGGGATGGTATCCTGGGTCACCTGGCCCCCAACCAGGTTTAGTTGTGCCTGTTCCCACAGTTCGCCCTCTTTCGAGAACTGGTAAGATTTTAACAGCTGTATGTAAAAGTTTCTATTTAATTAGCAGAGGTGTGTTCTCCTGTTCTTTCCCTGAACCCTTAAAAATAAACTTTCCTAATCAATCATGGTGACCAGTAGTATTGTATAAGGATATTGATAGCAGCTAATATTTTGTCCCCGACGTGACCTCCTTCCCTATAAGCACATGTACCATTACAGTTGATCTTAGTTTTAATCCATGCAATTGACAAGCTATTCATTACATAAGACCTGATGTTATCAACTTACTATCATCAGGCAGAAATGGACTTGCTTTGCCAGTGGTGTTAGAGTTTACTTTCTGTGGTCAGCAAGGTATGTGAACCTTGCTCATTACTTTGACTTACATCATTCAGTCTCTAGCTAGAATTATAGATAGTTCTTAGCTGCCATGTGGGTGCTGGGATTCAAACCCGGGTCTTCTGTAGGAGGAACCAGTGCTCTTAGCTGCTGAGTCATCTCTCTAGCCCAAGAAATAGGATTATTTAAGTTTTTTAATTTGTTTAGTTTCAAAGACTCCATAGAAACCTCATATATGCAAAGAATTATGGCAATATGTTACCATGGTTGTTCCTAGGTAGAAATGAATAATGATGAGTTTCTCCTTCACATGTTTCTGTTTGTAAAATTTATGCAATGAAAAAACACACTTTTGGTAATTTGCAGCGGGGGGGGGGTGGACAAAGAGTTAAATCCAAAATGGTCAGCAGTTGATACCTAGGATTATGGTTCTATTGTTTTTCTTCTAATTTTATATAAGGCAGGTGAATTAGGCTAATGATGAGTGATAAACCGTTAGACTTCTAAAACATCTGTACTTAAAATATTAAAACTGCATTGCTTCCCATAGCATTGCATTTAGCTTCCATGCCTAATCTTTCTTGTCAAACAACTTTTTTTTTCCAGAACCCCTTTTATCTACCCCAGTTCCACAGACCCCATTAACTGGAATTTTACAACCTCGGCCTATTCCTGCAGGGGAAACTGTAATTGTTCCTGAGAACCTGCTGAGTAACTCAGGAGTTAGACCAGTAATTCTGATAGGTAAGGTAAAGGAATTTCAAGTCCTCTGGAATTTAGGAATGTTTCTCCATTCCATGGTTGGGGTCTTTGTTCACATGTTTATGAGTGTATGTGTTTCCTTTCTCCTCATTATTTCATCTTTTCTTGGCCAGCTCCTTCATGCATGTGATTTGAAGCTAAGAATAAGGCATTCTTGTCCAATCTGGGAGTCTGACCCTTTACTAAACCATTGGTCCAGTGAACGACCATTACTACACACTAGGATTACATTACAACACACTTGAATAAGTAAGCTGGCAGAGGTTCACAGCTGCAGAAGGTCCTGGGGAAGAAGACTTAGCTCTGTCTAGAAGGATCTTTGAAAACTTTTAGACCCTGAGATTTAAGCTGTGTCCTGGCAGTTGTTAAAAGTGAATAGTTTGAGGAGGGTGGGCAGTTCAGTCAAAGAAAAGAAACAAGCTAAGCCAACTAACAGACCTCCTTTAAAGAGAACCAGGGAGCGCCTCCTAGATCTGTACCAGGGGAAACACCTGTGAGTCAGTATCTTCATAGAGTCTGATCCATTCAAGCTGTCTATAAGTGAAAGAATGGAGATTTAGAGGTCAAAATTCTAGGATTCCAAGTCCTACATTCTAACACTAATTGAATACCTTTCATACCTGTAACTGAAGTCTCCTTAGTTTGAGGGAGGTCTAGACCAGAAGGAGACAGCCTGTTTTCCCTCCATGATAAAGCAGGTAGGGTATGTTAACATGAGTTGTTATCTGTTCTTGTGGTTGGCCTGACTCTACTGACTTGGGTGATTTTGCTTTAAGCCCTGTCCTTTATCAGGCCACCCTGTCAACTGATCCTGGATCTGTAGGCATTGGGGGAAATCCCTGTTATTTAAATTCCATATGACTCAGGAGGTTGCCAGCATCAGAATAATGCAACTAAGCCGTGGAAAGACTTGAAGAAGATGGGGATCCTTTGGTCCTTTGGCACTCTCCTTTTAGAAAGTCTCACAGAGGTGGGACATGGTAGCACATGCCTTTAATCCAGCACTTGGGAGGCAGAGGTAGACAGGTCTCTGTGAATTCAAGGCCAGCCTGGTTTACATCTGGTGAGTTCTAGGCCAGGCAGAGCTACATAGTAAGACACTGTCTCAAAATTTCACAGAGGCAGTTCTCTTTACTACACCACGAGGTGTATTTTCAACATATTTTCATCCTGGCATTCAGGAAAAATACCAAAACACACTAATATAGCAGAAGGAGTAGGAGCTCTCTCAGCACCTACAGCTAGTTGGTAGAATATTACAGCTCATCAGTGAGTTTAACTCAACTCCTCTTCCCCCAAAAAAACCTCAGAAAGTAAAATATATTATCATTGTTTGCTTTCTTATCTGAAAAGAAAATTGATCAAGAACTACATGAGAAAATATCATCACAGTTTTACAAAAGCAACAGAGATTATTTGTATTGTATCAATCTTCTGTGACAGAACTTTAATATTAATACTGCCCCTCCTATGGGAAACATTCATTGAGGGCTTTGTGCATATCTCAGTTAACATAGAATGTGAATGTCCAAGTGAATTCCCTGAGGTGGATATGTTTAAGCACTTGTTTTTGGTGGCCATCTCAGGGGGCAGGGAATTTTGCTGCTCACTGAGTAAGTGTGCCTGATTGGAACTCAGAAATGTTGAACTGTATTGACTTCTTCTTTGGGGGCAGGCTATGGCACTTTACCCTATTTCTATGGAAATGTTGGTGACATTGTTGTGAGTCCTCTGCTGGTGAATTGCTACAAGATCCCACAATTGGAAAACAAAGATTTGGAACAATTAGGATTGACTAGCACCCAGCTCCTGAGTGTGGAAAATATGATCCTTCTGACTATACAGTATCTCGTGCGGTTGGGTAAGTTACTCTCCATAGACATTTGCCGGGAACATTTTCATTGTTTTTGGAATGTACTGTGTCCCTTTTCTTATTCACCCACCTGTTTAGTATTTTCTTTCTTTCACTTCTAACACGTCCCTCCTTCTACCCTGTCCACTGTTTCCTCTATGGCTTTGCCTTCTTTTCTCTTTGCTTGTGACCTAAAAGAGGCAGAATTGCTCCACCTAGCGTCCAGTCTCATGATGCTCCTGGGACCTTCAAAGTAGCCAACAGAGCAGAACTTCAGAGTTTTGCTATAGGTACCCTTCCTGGATGTCTGGTCAGACTGCCTTTCTGGCACAGCTACTGTCTAGGATGCAAGCACATCCTTTGTCTTAGACAATCAATTCCCACTTTTCTACTTAGCCTTTTTACGTTGTGTGGCTACTGCCCTCACACCCATTTGCTTCTCCAGCACTATGTCCCTTTGATGTAGTCCCATGTTTTTTCCTTCATGTTAGTAGTAACTGAGGTTTCCCTGACAGATTCCCTAAGCCTCATGGTCGGGGGAGGGGGGGGGGAATATGCATAGGTCATGAACCCTTCATTTCCTCTGAGCCCCACAGTGAGTATATGCAGGTGTCCTGACAATAGTTTGGTGGTTCCGCAGCATTTACATTGAAATGTCCTTTATTTTGCAAACTGCAGTAGGTCATCAAATATGCAGCCTAATTATACACTTGCTTTGGGATTTCAAGCCATTGATTTATTTAGAAAAACGTTTGAGGTGCAAAATTACATGTAAAAATTGTATACATACTCAAGAGTTGTGTTTTTTTTTTTTTAATGTTAGGAAATACTTTGGTGTTAAAAAGCACTAAAAATGCTGAGGTAAACAGTGTTTAAAAATCACAAGTTTCAACAAGCCAGATGCAGCCTTTGGAGCAACCTGGCAAGGACCCTTAGTTTCCCTGGAGGCTGCCCTAACATGGGTTCTGCTTTGACATGGGCTTTAAATTTTTTTCTTTTATTTGTTATTTTTACTGTATGTGTATGAATGTATTGTCTGCATGTGTTTAAGTGTACCCATATCATGCAATGCCCTCAGAAGTCAGAAGAGGGCACTGGATTCCCCTGGAACTAGAGTTACAGATAGTTGGTTGCTATCTGCCGTGTGGGTGCTGGGAATCGAACCCAGGTCCTCTGCAAGAGCAGCCAGTACTCTTAACCTCTGAGCCATGTCTCCAGCCCCTGACATGGATTTTTTTAAGCCAGCAAGACTTCATATTTTCCATGAAACCCAGTGTGATGGTTTGAATGAAGTGTCGAGTATCTGACCACTTGGTCGTTTGGTGGCACTGTTTGGGGAAGGTCATGGAATCCCTAGGACTGCAGCATCACTGGAGGAAGCATGTCACCTACAGTTTTAACACCATGCTTATTGTTAGGTGATGAAATTATAAAAATCGTCTAGTTATATAGCTCATTAAATATAATTGCTACATGCTTTGAACTGTGGACTACCTTGTAAGACCTAAAAGTCACATCTAGATGCTCTCCCCAAATCAGTAAAACAAAGTTTCATGGAGCGCTGCTGAGCAATTCTATTTACTAAAGCATACCAAGCTAATTATTGTATCATTTTCTTCAACCTTAATAACCTTTTTAAAAAAAATAAATTATTGGGGCTGGAGAGACAGCTCAGTGGTTAAGAGCACTGACTGCTCTTGCAGAGGACCTGGGTTCGATTCCCAGCACCCACATGGCAGCTAGGAACTGTCCTTAACTCCAGTATCAGGGGAATCCGATGCCCTCTTCTGATCTCCGTGGCATTGCACGACATGGGTGCACTCACATACATTTAGGCAATACACTTGTACACATAAAATATAAAAATAATAAATAAAATATTTTTTTAAAAATTGTTGAGCTTTTGTACATTTCATACAGTTCTTAATCGAATTCAGACCCCCTCTCCCATCCATGCCTCACACACACACACACACACACACACACACACACACACACACACAACCTCATGTATTCCACCATACATGTTAAGTCCTGTCCAGTCAAGCATTTGTATCCAGATGTCCTTTGGTGAAAATTCATTCACTGGAGTGATCTATTGAATCTGTAACCCTGGCTTTACCTCTGTGAGCTCCTGCACCCATATACAACCAGGCACACACACCTACAAATAAAATAAATATAACTTTAAAGAGAACTTTACAAGTATTGAGATATAATTTAAAAATTAATGTGGAATGAAACCCAAACAAACAAACACCAAAATTAAAAACCTGGGAAGTGCACGAGGTTGTAATCCCTTATCCTGGTAGCACTGGACAAGGTGAGACAGGAGGATCACAAGCCTCAGGCTAGCCTGGGTCGCATAGTGATTTCCAGGTCATCATTGGCCCATCTTCTGTCTCACAACAAAATCAAACAAAACAACAATGTGGGCAGGAGAGGACTCGAGAATGAGTGCTGGAGACAGGGGACATTCCAGGACAGTGGAGGCCAATGGAAAGCAAGAGTGGAGGGGCAAGAGCAGAGGAGGCAGGGATGACAGAGGTGGCCTGGGGGACACTGGTTTCAGAAGACCCCCATCTCCAATGAGACAGCAGAACAAGGGTGGGAGCACAGGGAGCATTCGAGATTCTGCACACAGTGAAGCTCTGGGAACAGGCATATATATTTCTGAGCATGAATTTATGACCTGTGACATCTTGTCTATTGTGGCCCTCCTATTCTTAAACTAAATCTTAAATATGAGGAGAAAGGGACTGCTTTAGTATCTGGAGTAGGGCAGTGAACAACAATAAAGAAGCTCCAGAATACATAATTCTTTATACCTGTGAGAAGACATTTCCTTATTGGTAAATATCTTGGGGAAGTTAGCGTGGCATCCCCCTCAGTTCAGTTGTACAGGGGGCTTACCGCTTTGCCGCTCACTTGCCATATTTGGTTTTTATCAACCCCATTTTCCTTTCCTTTCATTTTCTTTTCTTTCTTAACCTTAAGTTTGTGTGTTGGGCCATCCCTATCCCCCAACTCACTAGTCTGGTGTACTTGAAAAAAAAACTGTTTTGTCATCAGAGGTTTGAAAGACAACAAGAATATTTTCATTTATGTCATAGATTACAGACATTAAAAAAAATACTAACTTCTAAAAGGATAGTTTTAATACCTGTGTTGGCTCAGTTACTGAGCAGTAACAGAGGAAAGAAAAGCAAGATTCTTCAGAAAGAACAGGCCTTTCCATGATGGTCACTTAAAATTTTTTCTGTTATTTCACAATCTGAAAATCTTTTGAAGTAGATAATGAAATCAGTAAATCCAGATTGTTGGAGGGCTCTGGGTCTGTTGGAGAGTTGTCCTTTCCTCTTAAAATAGCTGTATCTGAAAAACCATCAGTGATGCCTGGGCTACACTGAGCTGAAGATTGCTCTTGAAGGAAAAATTACCATCATTGAGCTTGGAAGAAGTAGAGAAAAGGCTCCTAGATTTTACAATAGGGGCTGTAGATGAAATCATGATAGATGATGGTAGGATGAGATACATATTGCTCTAAGAAGTCTCTTCTTTTGTTTAAACTTGATCCCATTTTTGGATCCCTAACTAATTCAATCAAAACCCTACAAATGAGTTTTAAGATAACTGAGAATGCTGGGCACATGTTATATAATTGTATTTTCTCCAGATGCCTTTATATTTGGGTTCTTTATGCTTTCTAACAGAGCATGTTGCTCAGTCCTGGTGTGTAATGGGTCTCATGACATAGCTCTGAGCTAGGCCTCTGAAGTTTGTGGTTTCCATGAAAAGGTGGTAGGAACTGGTGACAAGGCCATTTACTTTTCAGTTGTCGCATGTACTAGTGGAAGAAAGCTGTGCAAAATGACCATTTTCCTTCATTTGAGAGTACACATTCAGCTACTTTGAGCTCACTATCATATATGCATGTGGTGACTACTAAGCATAATTCTAATTTGGTAAACCTGAAAGAAGTTTGAAAGTCTTATGACTCCCAAGTGATCTAAAAGCAGAGAGAAACAACCAAAAATCCCAGCATTTGCTTCCTCTAGCAAGTGGTAGGATTGGGGAGCACACCAGAAATAAACTTTTTTGGGGTAGGTGAGGTACTAGGGATCAAAACCCAGAGCCTCACTCATGCAAGGCATGTGCTTTACCACCAGGCTGTACCCCTAGAAGAATACTTAATGTAAGCAGTATGGTTTTCTTGCTGTTTCTGTGTACAAAAAGTACCTGTCCATGATATTTCTGCTCTCTTACCTCTCTCTGGCCCTCAACCAACCCTGGAAAAATAGTTTTCCAATTTAAACTATTTGTTTTTCAAAAGTATAATATTTTATATAATTTCACTTGTCTTTAAAAAAATGACTACACCCATCCTTGTCTTACTTCCCTAGTAAAGATGAGAAGGGTTAGGAGGCTACTTAGGTCCCCATTAGAAGAAGCAATGGTTTCTGGCTCGTCAAGGTACCTCCTGGTTCCAGAGGGAGGAGATCTCATCCCTATCTTCCTGCTGTTTCGCAAGGAGGCTTAGCCTGGGTTTCTAAAGCCAGTGCTTAGCCTCAGATCACAGATACTGAGAGGTCTGTTCCTGTTGACAGGAGCCCTTGAGTTTCAAGTCTCAGATTCACACAGGGGGAAAAAAAAGACTACAGCAAATAAATATATTCCCCCTGGTTTTAATTTACACTAAAGGTAGAAATCTTAGTTCGTTTGTGTCATTTGGATTTTTGCTGGTTCTGTTTTAAAAACTGGTTGAGTTTCTAAGGAGAATACAAAGCAAAATCTCCCCAATGTCAGGGGCTACAGGTCAGCAGTCTGAGCTTAGCTCTGACTACAGCTGGGGAAGAGGCTAAATGCCATATATACAACCCAGAATACAGGGGAAGAATGAGACAGTGAAAGCATTCTCTACCTGGGGCAAGTGTGGGGCTGTGTAACATATAAATTGGGAATGAAAAATAATCCATTTTTCTGTGGATAATATTCTCAAAATTAGGTATAGATACAGTGCATTAAAATGTCTTCCTGTTGGGCATGGCAGTGCACACCTTTAACCCCAGCACTTGGGAGGCAGAGGCAGGTAGATCTTTGTGAGTTTGAGGCCAGCCTGGTCTACATAGCAAGTTCCAGGCTAGTTGGGGCTTAAAGGGAGACCCTGTCTCAAAAAAAAAAAAAAAAAAAAAGTTTTCCTAAGTATTTATGAATTCAAATGGGAAATGAACAAAACGTAAAACTGATTATACACCAGTAGGTTGACTCCCTGTTGTATTAGTTATTCTCAGTGTCTGTAATGCCAAGGTTTATATGAGTCAGGAAACATGCTTCCTGCAGTACTCATCTCCCAGGGCACACAACAGAAAAGATCTGTATCCTAGCATGTCTTCTTTAAAGAGATCATGACTAGAATAGAGAAGAGCAGAGCCTGATTTTTAAAAATTGAGGCCAAGATTGAAAAGAGAAGGGAATTTCCCAATGGTAAGTGGTTAGTAGGGGCTGGAAACTTGGGATGACCACAAGAAAAAGCACTTACTTGCCAGCTGGAGTATGGGGGCTTAGAACTACAGAATGGTAGGTGGTGTGTGTTTTCTCTCTTCTACCTGTGATTTTCTAAATTCTAGTTGTAACTCTCTTCAATATAGGTCCTGATCAGATACCTCTCAGGGAGGAATTTGAGCAGATCATGCTGAAAGCAATGCAGGAATTTACTCTGAGGGAACGGGCCCTGCAGATAGGCGCTCCATGTATACCTGTGTCTCCTGGACAGCTCCCCTGGCTTGCTAGATTAATTGCCAGCGTGTCTCAAGACCTGGTTCATGTGATTGTGACCCAGAACTCTCTGGCAGAGGGCATTTCAGAGACACTGAGGATTCTCAGTGAAATGAAACACTACCAAAGGCTACCAGATTATGTTGTGACAATTTGTGCATCCAAAGTCAGAGGAAATGAATTTTGTGTGGTGGTATTAGGTGAGTGGTTTCTTTGCTTTGTTTCTGTTTGTTTGTTTGTTTAATGCACTCATTCAGTCATCTATCTATTTGGGAAAAGTAGTAATTGGGTATTTCGGGCATCCACAGAATTAATCTCTGGCTAATTGCTGGCTTGGGTTCTTCCTCCCAGTTTTAATTTTTCCTTTTTTCCCAGATCAGGTTTATAGCCCCTCAGCCTGGCCAGTGTTGTGGCACCTGGTCATGGAGATAGTCTTTCAAAGCTTGCTCTTGTAACAGATACTCTTGTCTCAAGTAACTTCTGTCCTTAAAAGGTTTTGCAAGTGTTGCTCCTCCTGCATGTGGTAAAGCTAGTGTCACAGGTGGCCTATGCCAGTCAATCACATTTGCCAGGATCTTAGCTCCTGCATGCCCCTCCCCACTGAAGAGCCTGTTGTATAACATCTACTCTAAAGAGAGCATTCAGAAAGTGAATACACTGCAAAATATGTGCTGTGCTGATTCTCTACCAGGTAACATCCCCAATAGCCATTTGGACTGAAATTTTCTCTTCTCCTCTCTGTACTGAACTGCTCTTACTTCTTCCCACCAAAGAGACCACCTCCCCCCAACACACACAGACACAGACACAGACACACACACACATGCACACACACACACACACACGCGCGCACACATGCATGCACATGCACATGCACACACTGGAAAACTCTGATGTCCTTCTGTATTATAGTTTCAGAAAACTTTGCAGGTGATGTGATCCATTCATTCTAAAGCTAAGTTAATGTTATTAAGGCAAGTATTTATAATAACCATGCAGACACAATTTTGTTTTTCATGGTCTTCCCCAGTCTTTACGTGCATGCTTGCACATTCTTTAAGTCACAGTCGTTAGGTACATCATTTTCTCCTTTGATCTCCTAAGCACTGAACTATGAACATTTTCTGTTACTGTGGATGATCTTCAAATTGGCATTTCATATGCCATGCAGTTGTCCACACCTTTTGACATACTGTGATTCTCTTAGTCAAGTCCTTGTGGTTTTATACTTCTGTTCTTTCCAACTGTGGCTGTAATAATTAATGTTCCAGTGAAGATTTGTTCCACTGATGAGTCATGTCCTTGTTCCTGTGTCCTTCAGGTCAGCATCAGTCTCGGGCTCTGGCAGAGAGCATGCTCACCACAAGTGAGTTCTTGAAAGAAATTAGTTATGAGCTCATCACAGGAAAGGTCAGCTTTCTGGCATCACACTTCAAAACCACGTCATTAGGTGAGTGGTTTTAAGATTCGACGAACCTGCCAGCCCCTAGTTGCGTGACTGTCTGGATTTAAATCTTAGCCCATCAAGATGAATGTGGAGCTTAAGCTTGCTGGCTGATCTTTCATTTGGAGTGGTTTAACGTTAGTATTTTGTGACTAACACCAGAGGAGGCCATGTGAGGTCCAGAGGAAGACACATGGACACATTGATCAACTCAGCCATCACGCGGTTGTGTGACCTTGGGCCAGTTTCTCTCTCTCCCTGAATTTTTCTAATGGAAATATAATAGTTTCATTCCACCTACTCTGTATATGATGCAGGTCAAAAGAGATCCAGTGTGAGAAAGTATAAGCACTTACCCACAAGGGTAGATACCATCGAGGTTGCTCTGACTGTAGAGATGCCGCTATAGAGATGGCTAGGTATAAACTCTGACATAATTACTGGCCAACTTACAAATCTTGATGAGAGCCCAGCCTTCCATTTTAGACACTGATAAAAGGGATACAGGCTTATCGCTCCTCTAAACCTTCTTATCTCCAATTTATTTTGACATAGGTGATGACCTGGACAAACTGCTAGAAAAAATGCAGCAAAGAAGAGGAGACAGTGTGGTCACTCCTTTCAACGGAGACCTCAGCGAATGTGTTTCGCCTCAGGAGGCTGCTGCCATGATTCCCACACAAAACCTGGGTAATGAGGAGGCTGAGAGGAGGGAATCAGGCCTTGGGACAGACACTGAAGCAAAATAAGGAAGTTCTTTTTGCCCTGAATGATTCTAGGATCTTCAATTTTATTTTACTATTCTATTTTGGTTGTTTTGAGACTGGGTCTCCCTGTAGCCCCAGCTGGCCTGGAACTTGTTATGTAGACCAGGTTGGCCTTGATCTCTCAGAGATCTGCCTGCCTTGGACTCCCAGGTGGTGGAATTAAAGACATGCATACACCACACATGACACTAGCCTTGATGTCTTCCTCCTCCTGCCTCCATCTCCCAAATTGTAGGATTACGGGCATGTACTTCCATGCCTGGCTGGATCTCCAGTATTTTTTTAGTAGCTTTACCCTGAGAATTGTCATGCTTTACTGAGGGCTTCAAAGAACTTCATGAAAAATCTAGTCTACAGGTCATTCAGGACCCTGTCTCCTACTTTCCTCCATAATCTCTGACTTGTAAAACCCATGCTGTCTTGAGGAGAGTAAGGCCTTCCTTGCAGATAGAGCAACAATACCAACACATCATCTGCCCTACAAGTCAGGGGCTCACTGGGGGACCGTGGGCCAGGAGTGATGAAACAGTTTATTAAATTGTGTTTATTGGTATTAAATTCCTTTGCCAATTTACTGATGGACAGGGATAGCATAGGATAGGATAGAAAAAAGAACAGAAAAGGAACAAACCCACATAAGACATTTGCCCTCCTCTTGATAGGAATGTGTCCTTGATATGGGAGAATTGCCTCAGGCAATCAAAGTACCAGGGCTTGATACTTGGTACCTCTTGGCAAAAACAAATGCAAATACAGGCCACAAAGTATCTTGACTTCTGGGTACTGTTTGTTAGTAAAGCAATCATCCAAATGATCTAAAATGTGTTTATAGTAACTGTTTTGAATTGTTAACAAATTTAGATTTTTTTTTGTCTTTTTTTTTAGCAAATTTAGAATTTTTTAAATTGTTTGACATTTAAAATTTCAGGCTGCTTGTAACCCAAGCCTGAAAAACTGAGTTGGATCCCTGGAACACACATAAAGATGCAGGAAGAGAACTGACTCTTCTGACCTCTATACACACCCCCCCACACTCAGACCATGAACATACATAAACAAATAGATAAACAAAATTAAATTCCCAGAATACTTACAGACAACCAAGTATATATTCTTGGTTCCTTGTTTAAGAAATGTTGCTTAGGGGGCTGGAGAGATGGCTCAGTGGATAAGAGCTCTGACTGCTCTTATAGAAGACCTGGGTTCAGTTCTCAGCATCCATTTGGCAGCTAACAACCATCTCTAACTCCAGTTCAAGGGAATCCAATGCCCTCTTTTGGCCTCTGCAGGCATTGCATGACATGGGTGCACTTACATGCAAGGCAAAGCACTCATACACATAAAATAAATAAATTTTAAAAAACTAAAAAGAAATGTTGCATGGGGCCAGCAAGATGGTTTAGTGGGTAAAATAACCGCCACAAATCCTGATGACCTGAGTTCAGTTTTCAAGACCCATGAGAACCAATTCCTACAAGTTACTCTCTGACCTTCATACATGTTATGGCATGTGGACATGGGTGTATGTATGTGTGTGCACATAAACACACAGAAATTAAATTATATCAGGAGACAGGCTTGTTTTCATTAATAGTCTTTGTTGGTAAGAATCTATTTAGGCTACTGTTACTTTTTTTAAAAAAATCTGGTTCTGGGGATCAAATGCAGGGTCTTATATACTCTAGAAGTATGACCTACCACTGAGCTACCCTCCCAGCTCTGCTATTAAAATATGTGGCACTAGGCTTTGCCAGGGGGGAGAACCCTGTATCAATCTCTACTTGCAGTCAGTGTCCAAGGTAACAAGGGTGCTGTGATCACTGCTGCCTCAGCTGCATCACAGTTCACTTTTGACAGCCTTAATTTGCACAGGTTAATTAGGTCCTTGTGCTTGTGTTTCAGTCAAACTGCACTCTGTGCTCCTGACAAGAAGCAACCATCTAAGGAAGGATTGGAGGTTGCCTGCCCAGGTGCTTTGCTGTCTAAGCATGGTTCTTTCATTGTCAGGGACATGCATAGAGACTGATTGCTTGATGGCCTTGCAATGAAGAATTACAGACATGCATAGAGTGTCTGGACAGTGTTTTGTAGTACATCACCTATCAAGAGGCCAGCTGGCTGTGTCACAAGGCAGGTCTATTAAGATAGTCCTGGCGTCAGCACTAGCATTGAGCGCATCACCCAAGCCTGCCAGGTCACAAGTGCTGGCAAAGCCTAGTGGAGTGGGAGGAAAGGTGGAGGTTGTGTCTCTGTGATCTATGTTGTCTAGTCACAGAGAGGGGAATTTCAGGCCATGTTGCAACTGACTTGCTAAAGAGGAAATGTTTACTGTAGTATCATCCAGCAAAGCCCAAAGGAACCTGGCATTATTGCAGCTACAGCATTGCCTCCCTCTCTGGGCTGGGCTCAAGCACTGGCCTGCGCTGAGATTCCCACAAAATTGAATCCTCTCTCTTTCTACAGATGAGTCCTGGCTCCAGCTGTATCCACTATTAGGGTAGGGTGTGTCAAATTAGGTATATGTAAGATAATCCACCCACTTTCGAATAATACATCTGTAAAACTGCCACATCCAATTCCTTAGCATATCTTCTCAGTCAAGTCTTAGGGGGAAAATATGCAAATCTATTACAGCTCAATATTTTATGAGAATAGTGAGAATTGTTGGTAATAAAGTCTTGCTTTACCTTGTGTATTTTACGTCCCCATATGGATTCATAGTGGCCATTAAAGAAGTAAATTAATAATGTTCTTATAACTTTTTTCAATTTTAGATTTAGATAATGAAACCTTCCAAATTTATCAACCACAGCTTACAGTTGCCAGAAAACTCTTATCGCAGGTCTGCGCAATCGCAGACAGTGGCAGCCAGAGCCTGGACCTCGGCCACTTTAGCAAAGTGGACTTCATCATCATTGTCCCAAGATCAGAGGTTCTGGTCCAACAAACTCTTCAACGGGTTCGACAATCAGGTAAGAGTGAACTTTCTGAGAGTTCCTCCTTAGATCCAGCCTTGGCTCCCCTTTACCTCTTTCTTTTAGTTAGTCCAAAAGTTTAGAAGACATTTAAAACGTTCTTCAGTAATAAAAATTATAAAAGCAATTGAAATAACTGTTTTGCTGTATGTTTTCCCTCAAAATACTCTGGTATTTTTCTCTCCAAGGCCAAGGCTAAATTGATGGGCATGTTTGCTAGATACTCTTAAGTCTGTGATGTAATGCATGAGACTGGAATCTGGGCATTCACAGAGTAGGAGAAATTTTCTCAAGGCAATGTTCAGCTGTTGGTGCCTCTTGAACTCCTCCTATCCCTAGACAGGTCATTTCTCAGAGATGAGTTCTTGGACATTTTGCAGGCTGCCAACATATCTCCAATCTAGATGTAAGAACACCATCCTCCGTGTCAGCAATGAGAAGCCTTATTCAAATTATTTCCAAAGCCAGGCATGGAAGTGCAAACCCTTAATCCCAGTACTCGGGAGGTGGATCTCTGTGAGATCAAGGCTAGCTTGGCCTACATAGTGAGTTCCAAGCCCCTGGGGCTACAGGGAGACCCTGCCTCAAAAAACAAAACAAAACAAAAACTTATTTCCAAGAAGTTAAAGACTATATATAAAGAATCAGTGTTTGCCCCAGAAAAATATAAATGGTAGAAAGCAGAATTTTAAAAGCCTATGGTAAATAAAATCTCTTTACAAATTTTCCTAGAATTATAAAAGCTATAAGAAATTAGGACTGGTGAAAAATGCTGGCCTGCAGAAAAGAAAAATTTAAGTGTTAAATTCCTTCTGTTATTTTAGCTAGGGGAGAACTACACACAAATTTTAGATAGAGGACAAATCTCTTTGCCATATTAAGGAATTTTATTTTCATTATAGTTGGGAAGAGGAGACAGAAAAACACTGAATAGATTCATAAGTTCTTAAATTGTAGCCGATGTGTTCTACACTCATCAGACAGTGCCTGTCAAACTTTATCTTACAGATTGCCCGGGGGTTCTTTTAAAATGCAGACTTCCTCCAAGGGGTATTGAGAGGTTCCAGATTGAATTTCTTAGGAGCTCCTAGCACTTCTGAGTGTTACTGGTCAGAAGTCCACACTTTGAGTGGCATAGCTATGCATGAAATCTTCTTTCCTTGTGAGTTCTAGGGCGCATGTGAGCTTACAGTAGATTTTTTTACCTGTCAGTGACTGTGATTGACAAACAGGAAGTGTTACCCACAGCTCCTGGAGGCCTAAGAGCAATCTCCTTTTTGTCTTTAAATCTCTGAATGTCAAGCCACAAAATGACCTTCTTGAAACATTGGCTTGCAGGTGATGAACAAGAGGACAGGTGCCTTCCTTGACAGCTCTCCCATAAACTCGATGGATGCCAGGCTCTCTCAGCTACTGCCCATCCTGCATTTTCTTTCTGCCCCTTCCATTGTGGGCTATGGATGGGCTTCCACTGTGGGCTATAGGTGGGCTTCCATAGCACCCACCAGGCAGTAACCAGGCATGCTGTTACTTCTCATGGAGTTTCTCTTCCGTACATGGAGTGTTTGCCTTCTCTTCAAGGTGGTTTGCTTACTCCATCTGGCATTTGCAGCCTCTGTCAGTTTGTGATCTGATATCCCAAGTCATGCTTAGCAAACACATGGCAACTGTTTGGAGTGAAAATCATCTGCAGAGCCTTTCCTGAAATAACCTCTCAGTGACTTACACCTTCACCTTTCCTCAGTGCAAGCCCCAAATAAAACCCTGTGTGTTTGACAGATGGAGAAATTGCATAGGTTGTTTCCTTTCCCTCCTTAGTGTGCTCAGCTTTTTCTCACATATTTAAGGTGGTTACTCTTCAGAAGGTACTGAAATCTGATCAAGAAAACAATACAGAAAAAGAAATTCCAAGTCTAAAAAAAAGAAAAGAGACAAGTTAAGCATTTTTAAGTTTTCCCAATGTAGATTTGTAATTAGAGGAGCAAATCAGTAGAGAAAAGAGTATTTGTAAACTAAGAAATGCTTTCATTTTAGTGTCTTTTAAAAAAAACAAAATTGTAACACAATTCAGGAAACATTAGGACACTGGTGTAATCAAAATGCAAGTCACTTTCAATTCAAGGTGGGTGGGGTCATTATTATTGATTGTTCTTAGTTTGGAGTGCCTGCTTTTTAAATGGTGGCAGTTGGTGTGCCCAGCAAATAGGAGCAGGTATGGCAGTGTCCCATGGAGGAAGTTTTATACTGCTCAGGGCAATGAGATCAATTTGGTACTGAACATGTACATGATTATAAAGAAACCAGAGAGATGTTTATTGATATATAAGTATATTATCCTGTCCAAATGGACATAAGGAAGTTTTAGGAAATTGGCACAGCAATTTGGAGGGTAAATAAAGTAGAGGAAACCATTCTCATTTCTAAAACTTACCTTCTGGTCCCATCCACCTTATACCCCCTTGTTAATAACTTAAAAATTCATCAGAGTCGGGCGTGGTGGCGCATGCCTTTAATCCCAGCACTCAGGAGGCAGAGGCAGGCAGATCTCTGTGAGTTCAAGGCCAGCCTGGTCTACATAGTGAGTTCCAGGACAAGTGGGGTTACAGGGAAACCCTGTCTCAAAAAAGACCAAAAAAAAAAAAAAAAAAAAAAAAAAAAAAAAAAAGATCTCAGAATAAAAGACAGCACTTAGTGGGCAGTGACAAGTATTCTAGGGGCCAAAAATCCTGAGCCACTATATAACCCAGGCAGAAGAGAAAAACACTGGGGATTCCTCTGTGAGATCACAAGTGAACGTGTCCACTCCTCTCTAGGTGTGTGACCCAGCCAATATCCTACCCTGGGAACCTTCAGTTCCTCATCCTCAGAACCCTTTATGGATCCTTTCTGCAATGATCTGCCCATAGGATGCTGGAATCATCCACTCCAAGGTTCCCAACTGCAGACTACAAAACTCTTTGCTACATAATCAAGGTGTTGGCTGCTGTGAGTGGAGGAGTAAGCTCTACAATTGCTCCCATAATCAAGTTTTTTGTTTTCTTTTGTAGCTGTGTCTCTTCACACCTGCTACAGCAACTCCATCTCACTCACTCAGATCTCTGACCTCATCTTTCTCAGCAAATGATGCTGCTGTCTGTTTCTCCCCGCCGGGAAAAAAAAATCCCAGAAACTTCAGATTAAAAATGTCTTGCCTCCAAATCTAGAAACCTATTTATTGTCCTTTCTCTTCCTCTTCCCTTCTGATTGACAGATGGGCTGCCCTCTTGTTTTGGTTCAACTGTCCCATCACCTGTAGGTGCCATCCTCTGCCCATTCTTAGAGTCCCCACACTACTACATCACCCTTTTTCCTAGCCACTTTCATCTGCTTTCCCTCCAGGTCTGATTCCAGTAGTTTAAATCTGCCCCGGCCCCAGAGTTGAGACCATCCTGCCCAGCACTCCAGCTCCCTTCTGGTCAACTGCCAAACCAGGACAGCCATGCAGGGTTCCTACCTCCTCCATCTCACCTCATTCTACTGCACCCTGTGGCTGGGTTCCTACTCTCCTGGCTACGTCTGTGAACACTGACCTTTTTGGTTCTGGTTGTATCTCAACTTCGGTAGTATTGGTGACTTGTATCCCTTTAAACACTGCCTTTCTTTTGCTTTCCAGAACTTTCCCAGCTTTTCTTCCATGCTTCCTGCACTACTGTTCAGGTGCACCCTTGTGGTTTCCTAGCTGTGGCCCTCAGCACTCTGGCTTACACCTGTGACTTTTCAGCCACAAAAAGAAACATTCAGGGAACATATCTTATCTAGCCAGTGTCCTGACAAACATGTCATAAATATTTGCTAAACTGACTTTTTGTAAATTTGACGAACTGATTGCTAAAGTATATTTTGAAAGAAAAATATAAAATAGCTAAGATTTAGAATTCCTCTTGCAAAACCAAATTGTTCATTAAAATCATGTTCCAGAAATCACCTCTGGCTAAAACCGGAGGTCTTCAGTATATAGGCATTAGGTGGGCAAGGCTCTGATATTGAATTCTATTTGTGTATCTAGAATGCTGTTCTTGTCTAGGCCAAGTGCTGCTTCCTCCTACACCCAGACAGCCCCCTAGTACATACCTCCATAAAGTCTCTCAAACTCAGATTAAATAATTCTTCCCCAGTGAGAGGACAGAGGGAGCACACTGGGCCACAAAGATAGAAGGGACCGCCAAGTCAATGGACTCTGAAAGCAACGCGCAGGATTGTAGCCAATGTTTATAGGTTGTTTTCTATCCTGAAGAAAGGTTACAAGGCTAAAGGGTTGAGGTTGTTAAAATAATACTTAAAGACTGTGCATGTTTTAATTATTTAATATTTTCTTATGTTGTGTGTGTCTCTCTCTTCTCTCTCTCTCTCTCTCTCTCTCTCTCTCTGTGTGTGTGTGTGTGTGTGTGTGTCTGTTTTGCTGGTGATGGAACCCAGGGCCTCATGAATGCTGGTCAGTTACTCTCACTGAGCTATACCCCTAGCCTGATTTTCATATCCTTTTAAGCATTAGGGTTTTGGTTGTTTTTTTCTTGTTTACCAAAACTTTAGAGAAATCTGTCTAATCCACAGAAAATGAATGACTAAAATGGAAGCATTTTTTTCCGTTATCTTCTTGATAGGAAAAACAAGGATTAAAAATTAGGAATAAAAACTATTCTCTGGGGGCTGGAGAGATGGCTCAGCAATTCAGAGCACTAACTGCTCTTGCAGAGGATCCGGGTTTGATTCTCAGCACCCACATGGCAGCTATGAACTCTCCTTAACTCCAGTTCCAGGGGAATACAATGTCCTCTTCTGACCTCTGCTGCATTGCACGACATGCGTGTACACACATATATGCAGGCAATACACTCATACATATAAAATAAAGATAATAAATAAAATAGTTATAAAACTATTCTTTGTTTTAAAAAAAAAAATCAAGGATAAGAATAAACCTCAGAACAAGCTCTTCTCTCCAAATAAACAGGCAGTATAATGGGCCAGAGGCCAGCCTGGCCCATCTGCTATGATACCTGGACACTGTAGAGGCCCCCATCTCCATCTAGTACCAGCCACTCACTCCAGCTATAGACATGCCCCATGTGTTCTTGGCTTTATTTTCCTTCAAGCCTCCTAAATAATAGATAAATTGCCTAGATGATGAGATTTTTCCCCCACCTCCATAAAGAGAGCCACAAGTTAATGTTCAAGTTTTCCTTAAACACATCTAGATTCTGTAATCTTCAATAAGGAACAGAGCAGACACACATACCTCTAGTGCAGATGCTTAGTACCTTTGGCCCCCCAAGAAGATTCTACACTCAAAATGTTTAGAATTAGTTACTTCTTCAGGGATGTTTAATATGTCAGTTCCCCAAAGTCAGATTAAAATCCTTTAGGAAAGACGGTGATGCATAGCCACGGCACTCCTTTAACTTGGTTAGTTGCAGCTGATCATAAAAGAATTACTGATACCTCCTCAGTCCAAAAGTAAGATTTATTATTTAGGTAGGTATGACTCAGAGTCTTGGAACCACCATTGGTATTCTGGGTAGGTCCTGATATCCATTGCTTATTGTGGAATTGGAAAACTAAGACAGAGTTGGTCATTATTTATTGGAAAAAAATTTTTTTATTTACTCCTATAGAACTATTATAGGCAAATTAAATTATTAAAAAGACAGATCATGCTGGATATATTGGCACATGCCTTTAAAATCCCAGCAGTAGGAAGGCAGAGGCAGGTAGATCTCTATGAGTTCAAGGTCAGCCTAGTCTACAGAGTAAGTTCCAGGCCAACCTAAGATATAGTGAGACCTTGTTTTTTTGTTTGTTTTGTTTTTTATAAAAAGAACAAAAGCGACTTTTCTCAGGCCATCCATTGCTTAGCACTTGTGATCATTTACAAATCCTATGCCTTTGTGCTTATTTTTGGAAAACAAAACATGAAAAATAAACCAGAAACCAATAAGAAGATTCCTCTTTATGGGGTAGAAGAAATGGGTACAGGAGCAGTATAATTGTGGTTTTAATCTCTGATCCTTAAAAGCAGTTTACAAAGGTAATTTTGCATGTATTCAGTGTACAAAACAATAGATTTCATCATGACGTGTACAACATGGACTTTGACCATACCTGCCCCATTCCCTTCTCACGCCACCGAAGCTGGCCCCCTCCTCTTCCCAGAGTCTCCCTTCTACTTTCATGCCCCTTTTTTAATAATTTACATATTGAAAAAATTACAGTGATGGAAGTATCCTTAACATTGAATACAAACATATATAAATGTACCAGACTACATATACTACATATTGCTAAGACTACATATTGCACAGCAAGGGAATTAGTTCAATTTTTTTTTTTTTTGAGTCAAAGTCTCACTATGCAGCCTTGTCTGACCTGCAACTCATTATATAGACCAGGCTGGCCTCAAACTCACAGAGATCTGTCAGCCTCTGCCCCTGAGTACTGGGATTAAAGTCATGTTCCACCATGTCTAGCTTTAGTTCAAACAATTTTTTGATACAGGTCTCCCTGTTAGCTCCAGCTGACCTGGAACTCACTGGGTAGGTCAGACTGGCCTTGAACAGAGATCCACCTAATTCTGCCTCCTGAACACTGGCATTAAAGGTGTGCACCACCACATCTGGCTCTGAACTATATTTTTAAATTTAAAAAAAATGGAAAATAACAATTTAATACAAACACAAATGAATTTAACAATATAAACCAAAAAAAATAGTTCATATAATTTTTTTTTTTTTTTTTTTTTTTGTTTTTTTTTAAAAAATATGTAGCCGCAGCTGGCCTGGATTTGCTAATGGAGACCAGGCCTGCCTCTGCCTCCCAAGTGCTAGGATTAAAGGTGTGTGCCACCGTGTCCAACATATAATTTTTTGTAGTTTTCTTACTGTACGTTCTCAATATGATATATCCTAAGACCAAAAGTTTGCAAATAAATCTTGAATTTTAATTAGTATATTTGTGATTGGGAGTGATAGTAATCATTTGAGAAGTGTTTTGCATGTATCACAAAAGATGCAGATGGGCAGATATGACCAGAACCCTGGGTTTCAGCACTCAACAAAGGCAAGGAGCTGAGAGGGTTCCTGGATAGCTGGCTCAGCAGTTAAGAGCACTTACTGCTTTCTGGAGGACTCAAGTTTAATTCCCAGCACTCACATCAAGTGACTTACAACTGCTGTAACCCTGGCTCCAGGGCACCTAATGCCCTCTTCTGGTCTCTCCAAGCATCTGAACACACACATACACAGACACATACAAATAAACAAACACTTAAAAATAAAATATGTTTAGAAAGAAAGAAAGGGAAAGGGGAGGGGATGGAAGGAGAATATATTGAATGGGGAAAAGTAAGGAATATTTCTTTTAGTATGAACTTAAAATTTGAAAAAATATTAAATATATTTTCTATCTCTGTCCACAGAAAGTTCTTGTAAACTGACATCCTCCTCAGTGAGCACATTTATCATCTAAAGCTTGGCTCATCAATACCTTTCCCCACTTTCCTAGCTCTGAAGTGGAAACAGTCTGGGATATTTTGTTGTGCCAGAGAGAGAAAATACTCAAGTCTGATGGGAACATATTAAGAGGACATAGAAGTCAGATTGAAGAGGGTTATGACCCAACTTTTGAGCATCGAACAGAATGTCAATGATAGATTATAACCTATTGAATTTTTTTTTTTTTTTGAGATATGGTCTCCTTGTAGCCCCAGCTGAACTGGAACTCTCTATGTAGACCAGGCTGGCCTTGATCTTACAGAGATCTGTCTGCCTCTGCCACTGTTCTGTGTGAAATGCACAAAAATCAATAAAAATATACATTAAAAAAAAAAAGATCTTGGGGCTGGAGAGATGGCTTAGCAGTTAAGAGCACTGACTGCTCTTGCAGAGGATCTGGGTTTGATTCCCAGCACCCACATGGCTGCTAACAACCATCCCATAACTCCAGTTCCAGGGGCTCCAGTGCCCTCTTCTGACCATTACATGACATAGGTGTGCTCACACACAGGCAAGCAATACACTCACACACATAAAATTAAAAAATAATAAATACAATTTTTTTTTGGTCTTTTTGAGACAGGATCTTCCTATGGCCCCAGCTGTCCTAGAACTCACTATGTAGACCAGGCTGGCCTTGAACTCACAGAGATCTGCCTGCCTCTGCCTCCCGAGTGCTGGGATTAAAGGCGTGGACAATCACACATGGCAATACAATATTTTTTTAAAAGATCTGTAACCCAAAGTTTAATTTTTTCCTCAGTGGTCTGTGGTAGATATCAACATTAGCACTTCACCTACAAAATGAAACAGAAGTCTCATGCATCCAACTGCTTTATTTCACGAATCAGAACATTTCTTGTAGCTGGGTGTGGTGTGCATGCCTCTAATCCTATGATGTCTAATCTTTGGAGGCTGAGACAGAATTGTAAATTTGAGGACAGTGAGACAAAAAAAAACTCAAAAACCAAAATAGAAAAAAAAAATTCCCTGCTATTTACATCATGTAATGAGATGTGGGATAGGATGTTCTAAAGAAAAGAACATCTGGTATTTCCTCCTTAAAACTGTGGTAGAAATACGAAAAGAAAAAAAAGCTAATGTGTGGTTAGTACCCAGTGTCAGTTAACACTGAGCTTCAGTTTATCCTGTGTGTATGTGTGTGTATATGTGTAAAGCTGTTTAAAAAGATAAACTCAGCCGGGTGTGGTCGCGCACACCTTTAATCCCAGCACTTGGGAGGCAGAGACAGGCGGATCTCTGCAAGTTCAAGGCCAGCCCGGTCTACATAGTGAGTTCCAGGCCAGCTGGGGCTACAGGGAGACCCTGTCTCAAAAAGACAAAAAAAAAAAAAGGATAAACTCTTTCTTCTTCTTGGCAGGTGTCCTTGTAGACTTGGGTCTGGAGGAAAACGGAACAGCTCATCAGAGGGCAGAGAAATACGTTGTTCGCCTAGACAATGAGATTCAAAGCAAGTTTGAAGTTTTTATGAGGAGGGTGAAACAGAACCCATATACACTGTTTGTGCTGGTTCATGACAACTCCCATGTGGAGCTAACGAGGTGATTGCTTCAGTGTGAGCAAACCCAGTGTTTCTTCAGTCACAGTAACTGTTACCTAATCCTATAAAGGTAGTGAGGTGAAGGTCAGAGACCCTCACATTTGAGATCTTCCCATTGGTAACTTACTCCTAATCTTTCCTTGTTCCTGCAACTCTCTGCCCAATTTATGTTTAATTTTTTAACCTTTATTTAATTGTGTGTGTGTGTGTGTGTGTGTGTGTGTGTGTGTACTCACGTGGCATGCACGCATGTGTAGAAGTCAGAGGACAACTTGTAGGACTTGGTCTTCTCTTCCACCACGTGGATTCCTGAGTTCTAATTCAGATCATTGGGCTTGGTGGCAAGGGCCTTTACTCACTGAGCATCCCCCTGGTCCAGTTTTGTTTTAACTATACTATGGAGAGAGTTAGAAATTCCTGTTGGGGCTGGAGAGATGGATTAGCAGTTGACAGTGCACACTGCTCTTGCAGAGGACCTGAGCTTAGTCCCCAGCACCCATGTGGGGCAACTCACACCTGACTGTCACTCCAGCTCCAGAGGATCAGGCACCTCTGGTCTCTGAGGACAGTGTGCACACACACGTGTGCACATACTCTCAGACACACATGCATACACATAATTAAAAATAAAATAAATCCTAAAACAAAAAGAACAAATCCCTTCAAATATACTGTCTCAACAGCACCATGGAGCTCAGTTGCTTCAGAGAGCAGATGGTAGTGAGGTACAGGTGGACAAGTGCCCAAGGGGCAGAGTGCCTCCTGACTGCTGCTCTGACCTCTCCCTGGCCCTGCTCTTCCTTTCTTGCCTGTGATTCCTTCTCCCTGCCTTCTGTCTTCCTTTTGAATTTTTTTTACGTTTGAGAATTTCATATGGGAATATAAGCATATAAGGTGTTTTGATCAAATCCATGCCCACTCTCTCCCCTCCAACTCCTCTCATATCTCCCCATCACTTTTTTCTGATAATTTCATGTATTCTTTCTTCTTTTTTGGGGGGGGTCTTTTTGAGACAGGGTCTCCCTGTAGCCTCAGCTGT